TCCAAGTTTCTGCGTAAACGCTTCTTTCTCAATGAGGAGGTGACCGTTACAAACAAGAAGAACACAGTTTTCAAAGTGGTGGGCATTAAGCCGGGCGACAACATGCCGGAGCCCGGCAATGGCATTTACGAGGACACCGAACAGCTGGAGTATCGTTTACGTGCGCCCAACGGTAATGAAATAAATGCGCCCTTCGAGCAGTTGCGTCGCCAGCGCGCCGAGTTTAACCAAGAGAATTTGGCCATGTTCATCAAAAATAACGTGATTCGTGTGGATGGGATTTTGCGGCCTAAGCCTGAGATCTATAAGCAATATGTGACCGAGCCGAACATCAACTTTTCCAGCATCTTTATTGGCAAAATGCCGCGCTACTCGCCGGCAAAAATAAAGCGACCCGAGGCTAAGGATACCAAAAAGCAATCAACACTAAACAAGTACATTGTCAAGGGAGAGGAATCGACTGTTAAGAGCAAGGCCGATACCGAGGCCAAAGCGAAATTACTGGCCGAAGAAATGGAGCGCATTCGCCTGGAAAAGCTAGCCAAATGTGCGGAAATGGAGCGAGAAAAGGCACAGAAAAAGGCCGAATTAATGTCGCGTGTGGAGCAAGAATGTTACGATCTGACAACCAAAACGGATGATCTGGAGCGCAGCGATCAGTCCGTGTTGCCCACGTATCATCCAATTGTAACATTTCTGCCGGTTCAGCTTTTGGGCGATGCCTTTATGCTGCGCGAATTTATGCACACATACCGTGGACTGCTTTCCGGCGTAGAGGTGTTTCGCCAAAATCTTAGTTTCTACGAAATGTCGCGCGCCTTTAGCGCACGCGAGGTGGCCGGTCCACTTTCCGACATACTGCTTGTGCTCTTGGGCACAATCTTTGATCTGCAAAAGGAGGAGGAGGAGGAGTGCCCGGTAGCATACGCGCTTGGGCGCACGCCGGCAACACGGGAGCCATACATCAGCATGTATAATGCCTCAAATTCCCATCGATATGCCAAGCGGCATTTCTCTTTTAATCTGAACGAACTGCCACTGGACGCACTCACCCTGAGCGAGGTTCTACGGCTGCACTTGTTGGCCTCAGGTGCGGCTGTACTAGAAAAGGCAGAAAAGTGGCGCATTATGTACCGTAATGGCTACTCATCGCGTGAGGATCCTGGTCTGCAGCTGCGCCTACAGTACGCTCACATTTTGCGTGCCCTCAAAACCAATTGCATTGCTCAGCTGGAATTTGAGGACATTATGCGTATAATAAACTGCCTGATGGCGCAGATCTTAACCTACTCGGGCACTATAAACGTCGTTGAGGAACGCATGGAGCGGACGGCCAAGGCGAAAACTGAACTGCGCGCCCTGATCATTGCCGAGAATAGGCGCCTGGCTGCACTCGAGATGACCAAACGTAGGCTAACCAACGAGCACCATCAGCAGTGCCTGACAGATGAGGTGAAACAGGATGCGGAGAAGAAAAAGGCGCTGGGTGAGCAGCTTAATCGCCGCATTGCCGATTTGCTGGCACAGTCGGATCGGGAGCAGCGCAAGCACGAGCAGCAGGTGCTCAAGCTGCACTCGGAGCTGTTTAACTTTTTGGTCTACTTGGGCATGGATAGATGCTATCGCAAGTACTATGTGCTGGAGTCCATGCCGGGCATTTTTATAGAACATTCACCGGATAGTATGATGGACACGTGTCTAGCCCAACCGCCGGTAAACAAGTCGCCCGCCGAGCTGCGCAAGCAGGCACAGTTGCCAAAGGTGCGCAAAGATTTGCGTATCTATTTGGTAAAGCTATATAGCGAGGAAGATAAAAAGAGGCGCAAACCAAACAACAAACAATCGCTCGAGAATAAAGAGAACCAAGAGAATCGGCTAAATGGCCACGGACAAGGACAATCGGGGGAGCAGATGGATGTGGCGGCCGGGGACGATGAGGAGCAGACTCCGCCTACACAATTCGAGCTGCTAATGTGCAGTGGCGATAGCGCCAACTGTATTGTCCATGATGAGCACCATCCACAGCGCAAGGTCTGGTCATACATCTACCAGGCTGAAGAGATTGATGCATTGATAAGATCCCTGAATCCGCTCGGGTGGCGGGAATCGGAACTGCTGGACGAACTTACTCAGCTGCGCGCTCTAATCGAGCAGCATGTGAAGAGCTGCCCGCACGAGCTGCTTAGCCTGGACAGCGAAAAGAAACGCAACAAGTTCATCAGCACGATGCATTCGGAGACGCAGCGTAAATATGGTCAGGCTAATTTCGGTCTGCCTGAGGGAACGGAACTTAACGAGGTTTTGCGATTGCATCTCGTGGATTGTATTCTGCAGTTCGAGACAGACATTTACACCGGTGACTTGGGCCGGCTGAAGATCAAGGACATGGAAAAGTGGCGTCAGCAGCTGCTGCAAGATGACTTTGATGCTCAGTGCAAGTTGCAGTGGGGACCTGGTCTGATGTACAGCGATGAGGTGCCCGCCGATTCGGACAATGAGTCGCACGAGGATTACGACGACCAAGATGACGATAAAGATGAGGATGCCATTTTTCTGAACCAGTATGCGCGAAAGAAGTATGGCAAGTATCGGGATCCAGGTCAATACATTAGCCAAAGCCAAGACGCGTCCTCGACCGAATCCCAGACACATCGGACTCAAGTTCGCAACTTGGCCAGTGCACTGTTGCAGGTGGAGCAAGCGATTGGTCGTCGTTTTCTAAAGGAGCCATTCGGCTTCACCAAGAAACGCCAAGACACTAAGCAGGATCAGCAGAAGCTGATCTGCGAGTCCAGGCTGCAGCAGTGGGAGGTGTCGCTCATGGAGAGCACTAGCTATGCCCAGATCTTTCTTCATCTTAACATTCTGCACGACTCCATACTGTGGAAGCATTCCACAAACAAGTCACTGTGTAAGGTATGCCGACGCGGCACCGATCCGGAGAAAATGCTGCTCTGCGACCAGTGCAACGGCGGCACTCACATGTTCTGCATGAAGCCAAAGATGCGCACAGTGCCGGAAGGCAACTGGTACTGCCACACATGTGTAAAGAATCTCGGCTTGATTAATGCCACCGACGACAAGCATCAGGAGCAAAAGAAACGCGCTGCCCAGAAGAAACGCAAGTTCATTGTGGACGAGGTAGACGAGGATGTCGATGAGGGTGTTGCAGACAGTGACGGAAACGATGAAGACGAAGACGATGAGGGCAGTGATAATGAGGAAACTGAGCTCAGCGATGCACAAGACGATAAGAGCGAAGCTTCTTCTATATCCGTTAAGGCCAATGGTAAGGCGGCAGCAAAAGGCTCAAGTGCACGCCGCAGTAGCAGGCGATTGAAATCCAAAGAAATTGAAGATGCCATGCAGGAAGATGATGATGAAGCCGCTGATGATGACTCAGTGGAAGCTGATGAAGCTGAAGCAGACGAGGACAACGAAGAGGAGGATGGAACGTAAGTTCTGAATAAGTTAAACCACTGTGAACAAAATGTAATATGCAAGTTATTTATGCCTAGCGAGGATGAAAAGGTATGCCAGACATGTTTCTATGACGGCTGCGAAGTTTGTTGTTCCCGCTGCTCCGAGTGGTATCATCTGGAGTGCGTCAAATTAAAGCGACAGCCTCGCACGGATTTTGTATGCAAAAAGTGCAAAACAAATGAATCACAACGCTCCCGACGTCGCCCCAGTCATGGTAATGCTATATTTTGTTTTGCAAATGCCAAATTATAAAAACATATGATGTTTACAGTCGATGGCGATGCCGACGATGATGAGGATCACGAGGAGCCGCAGGCAAAGCGTGCGCGGTCCTCGCGCAACTCGTTGCGCATTTCCCTGGACAAGTCTGCTGCCAACAACAATATTAATAATAATAATAACAATACCAGTAATAACAACAATCGTCGTTCAGGACGCCGCACCAATGACAATCTGCCACTAAATAGCGCCGCCCTATACGATCTGCTGGAGCAGACAATGAAGCATCAGGCTGCGTGGCCTTTCCTGCGACCAGTTTTGACCTCCGAGGTTCCGGATTATCATAAGATAATTAAGTCGCCCATGGATCTGGCTAAAATCAAGTCCAAGCTAAACATGGGCGAATATCATTTGAACGAGGAGCTGCTCAACGATATCCAGTTAGTGTTCAAAAACTGCGATCTGTATAATATCGAGGGCAATGAGATTTACGAGTGAGTAGCTACACGTCCCGTCCCAGTCCATAACAATAATAATGCTGTTTCCTCTGATCATTAGTGCTGGCTGCGAATTGGAGCGATTCGTTATGTTACGCTGCAAGGAATTAATGCTACCGTTTAGGCCCAGTGACATGAACGCCGACTTCATTTGCTAAGCCGTGTATGGACTCTTTTTAGATATTTCGTGTAAATTAAATTAATTAGCTTTAGGCCATAGACAAAGAACAAGCCAGCGTACATAATTAGACAGTATTGTTTCGTTACCAGTAATCAGATTAATTAAGAGTTAAAGGATTATCAGCCGCATTCTAAAGAACGCACTCTTCTTTTACAGTCGTCTGTAAGTGTAATTAATGTTTCTACTTACGTTTCTCGCTTTTGTTTGCATTTAGCATAATCGTTTGAACTGCGACCTAAATAGTTATTAGTTACATTTTAGAATTTATTATTAATTGTACGCATAAATTATTGTAGACATACACACAGTTCACAGAATTTAGCATTCAATAAAATGAAAACCGAATACTTGCAACTTATCAAAGCTGTTTTCATTCGCAGTTGGCTAATAATTGTATATGTATATAATGTCATGAATGAATCAGATCCTCTAATATACATCCATATATAAATATATGGATATATGTATGTACGTTTAGTGCGTGTCTTATATCTGAAAGTACGTTTGAATTACAATTACTATATATTATATAATATGATGAAGCATTTATACATTTACAAATTGCATGTCAGCTTCATTACTTTTTAGATCGATTGGCGGCAATCAACAAATTTCCGTTGTTTTTCGCTTTCTGTACTCGGGTTTTCTTTTAACGACATTCATAATATATTTTTAATCACATTTAACATTTAAATTTCATTTGCAATTTGTGAAAAAAAAAAAAATTATTTACTATTTTATACGCTTTTTGCTCTTACTTCTAATGAATACATGAAAGATTATATTTAGAATGTCATGTTTTTTTTTTTTTTATGGTGTTCGTTACTGCATTTTTTCAGAGATCAAAAAAGTAAAATAATAAAAGTTTCCCAATGTTAAGGTTTGTATAAACTTCGTAAAGGAGTTGCAGCTAAGTTTCCCTCAATTAAGCTACTACATTTGGATTTTGGCTAAGCGATTCTTAAGTATTAAATCAAAGCTATTTCGAAATACCGAATATTTGATGCCATCAAAAGAACAATAAATCAATTTTCAGAATGGATACATTAATGTGATCCAGTGTGATCCAAAAAAATGTTGGTCTATGTTTTTCTTTTTAATAAGAAATTTTCGGTGTATAAGGATATAGCGCAAGGCTATTTACATGCCGAGCATGTTATACCCTTTAATATTCAATAAGCCAATTATAGTTATTCTAAGGGATTCAGACAAACTGACAATAATATAGTTAGCGAGAAACTAGATATAGGTAAACTATCCTATTTATAGAACTTCCATTGAAATTGAACATTTTCTTGCCTTCTGCTAATTTTTTGTTTTTTTTTTTTTTATCATACATACACTTAAAGGAATAACACTCATTTCTGGCTTGCCAGTATACAATAGTGGATAGAAACCTCTTCTTGAATGTATTTAAAAATTTGTTTGGGTTGCGACCGTCGATGTTGTTGGCTCCGAGTGGATACCATTGCGCCGTTTGTTGTTATTCTCAGAGTTTGAGGTGCTCGGCGCCTGCGACAGTTGTGCCTCCATTGATGTGTTGGATGTATCATCATCGGGTGTGCTGGTGCTGTTGCTGTTGTTCTCCTCGACAGTGTTCTCTTGATTAACTTCCGGCTCATTATCGTCATCATCATCCAGCCATTCGGTATCATAGGACATGGCGCTGTCCGTCTCCTGTCGACCTCGGCGTGGACGTCTTACATTGCGTCTTCGCTTGATGGCTGCGAAACGCAGCCGCATTAGCTTCCGCTTGCGCTCCAGCTGCTCGAAACTGGCCTGCAGGGAGCCAACTACGGAGAAATTCAAATCTTTTTAGTGGTTATTATTGCAGCTGAGCCAAGTTGTGTACAAGTATTTGGTCAAGTCATGCAAAGGGAATGTACACAAATCGGAAGCTTGACTCTGCTTGGGCAAACAAAGCCCTGACACTTGCCAATAATTGGGGGTTTCGCCATGGGGGCGTGGCTACTGACTGGGAGGCAAGCGGTCTATTGTTAACCAACGAGCATAGTCAGCTGTCAAGAGTCACTGACAGTAGGCAAACAACGGCACCAGCCCAGGTGTCAACGGGCCATTGTTTGTCCACAAAGATACGGTCAGGAGGACAGGTCAATCGCTGGCGCGGGTCAAAAAGTATTCAGTTGCGGTCACAATGTCGTTGAACGTACAGCTAATTATGTTAAGCCTGCTGACAGTAACGAAATTAACGATTGGGCAGGACGATGGTAGCGTTGATAGTTATGCAAAAATGTTTGAGCCCATGCTGAGCCAGCAGGAGAGCACCCTGGAACTGCACCTGCGTAGCATGCGGGATGCGGATAATAGATTTGTCCAGTTTCTACTGCGACAGCAGAGTAATGCAGTAAAAGTGCATGTTGCCCAGGAAACGCCAGAGCCGGGCGCAGCGCTAGTTTACGACGCCGTGGTCCACCATTTCTATATCTATGAGCATGTGCAGCAAATGCAGCAGCACCTAAAGCAGTTTACCAGCCAGGTCGGCTTTTATCTGCTAGCACTGGAGCGATTGCCAGCGGATGAGCAACAGCTTTTGCAGCAGTTTATGGAGACAATCTGGCGGGTACTTGGTCACAATCGCATCTACTATGTGCAGTTGGCAGCCAAGCAAGTGCTGCTCTACAATCCCTTTCTGCAATGCGTGGTTCTTGCCGAGGATGAGCACAGCTATGAGCGCATTTACTCCAACCTTCATGGCTATCCACTGCGCGCATACATCTTTGATTCAGTCTACTCCGCACTTTATGAAGATGACTCCACCGAACGGCCTCTACGTGCCACAGGGCCCGATGCCACTGTGGCAGAAACAGTTGCCAAACACCTTAACTTTACGCTGAACTACGTGTGGCCAGATGACGAGTTCTTTGGGTAAGTAACTTACTGGTATATTAATCTGGAAGATTCATTTTAGTTACATGCTCATTTACAGTGGCCGTCAGCCCAATGGCTCTTATACTGGTGGCGTGGGGCGGGCACATCGTCACGAGCTGGACGTCATCTTTGCCGGCTTTTTTATTAAGGATTATCTAACGTCGCGCATCCAGTTTAGCGCCGCTGTCTACATGGATGATCTGTGCCTCATTGTGCAGAAGGCCCAGCGTATTCCACAGTCAATTGTGCCCCTCTTTGCCGTTCGCGTGGATGTCTGGCTGTGTTTTCTACTCGTGGGCTTTGCATGCGCTTTCGTCTGGCTCTGCCTGCGCGGCTTGAATCTGGGCCTACGCATCGAGTGCCTGACCGATCAGAATCGCAAGATTGATGACGGTCGCTTCTTTGTTATTGCCTGGCGCATCTTTATCGACACCTGGGTCGTGTGGGTGCGTGTGAATGTGGGAAAATTTCCACCTTACAATTCAGAGCGTATTTTCTTGGCCTCGTTGTGTCTGGTTAGCGTCATTTTTGGAGCACTATTGGAGTCCAGCTTGGCCACGGCATATATACGACCACTGTACTATCGTGATCCAAAAACTTTGGCCGAACTAGACGACTCCCAGATGCCCATTTACATAAAGCATCCGGCATTCAAGGATGATCTATTTTATGGCCACGACTCGGCGGTTTATCGACGCCTGAACGCCAAGATGGTCCTGGTGGGAGAGGGTAAGGATCGTTTGATCAGCATGGTCGCCAGAAATGGCAGATTTGCCGGTGTGACGCGCTCTGCCAGCCTCGAGCTTAGGGACAGACGCTACATTATGACCCACAAGGTGCACAAGATACCCGAGTGCCCCAAAACCTATCACATTGGCTATGTACTGCCCAGGCCATCGCCCTATATGGATGCCATCAATACTGTGCTGCTGCACATTTTGGCAGGTGGACTTTTGGACCATTGGATAAGCGAGATGAAGGAGCGCGCCAAGTTGAATATACATCATTATCCCGATTATTTGGCAGTGCTGGGCGTGGGACAGTGGAAGGTATTGACTCTAACAGACATACAACTGGCTTTTTACGCATTGGCAATCGGATGCGTGCTGGCTGCACTAGTTTGTCTACTAGAGTTCCTGATCAAATAAAGATTTACGTATGTATGATTTACTTACTCATGCGTAGCTCGGGCGGCTTGCGAGGACTGCGGCTGGCTGGCTGGGAAATGATGTCCCGACGACTACGTTCCCGAGCAGCCGCCTCTGCGGATGTGGTGGGTAGCTCGTCATCACCAAATAGCCGGTGTGTTTCCTCCAGCCATTCGCTGATGCGCGCTTGCGTGGCTGCCTGCCGCTGCTCGCCCAGCAGCCGAGCCAGCAGCTGCTCCACATTGCGGTGCTGGCCCCCAGTGCCCTTGACCGCCAGCTGCAACAGTGCTCGCCGCTTTTTTGCCACCAAATAGAAGATGCGGTTTGGATGCGTCTGCCAGCTGAGCTCACTGACATTGGGTGTGTCCACTTCGCTCTGTTCCTCCGACTGAGTGCTGCTCTCGCTGCGTTCTGTGGACGTGCCAGAGCTGCTGTCGCTGCCGCTGGTGGTCTCTTGATCATTGTCGTTGCCGTTGCCACTGCTGCTGTTGCTGTTCCAGTTCTCCAGTTCACGTTGCACCAGCGTATCAAAAAAGGCCAGCATCACCTGGTCCTCGTCCATATTGCGCGAGCTAAAGTCTTGCGATACTTGATCGGTGGCGTTGCGATGAAGCATTCGTGTACAATAGGGCGTATCGGATGGTTCAATCAGTGCACCCTCCCAGCCATGCTGTGCAAATGGGCTCCAGAACTGTATAAAGAAGAGCCTTTATTTACCCAGGCTCGTTAGTTGGACAGAGTCTTCTCCTACCTTGATAATCTTTTCCACACCCGACGAAGCCAGCAGGCAACGCTGGCGATTGTAGCGCACCTGGTTAACAATAGATCGATGCCCGGTCAGGATGACAGGTGTCGTATCAATCCATTGATTCTTTTCCTCCACTAGAGCGAGAAAGATTAAGTTATCTGCTGAATGATATTTTTTAAAGACTTACGGTCGATTCCGTCCAGCCGCCAGATGAACATATTAAAGTTATCCGAGCCGGAAACCACCAACTCATCCTGCGGACCAGCAAAGGTGCAGCTCTTCATGGTGCACGAATTGAAGTATTCATCGTGATAAAACGAACACAACGGGTCGGACGAGCTCGGATTATACAGAATGGGCGGCAAGCGGCGGTGTAGAGTGAGCAAAAGGCTACCATTGCAGTTAAAGCGCACACTCATGCAGCTAGGGGATTCAGTTATGTAGTTATACTGGCAAAGTGCCCTAGGAGAGTAAAGAAGGGGCATTAGAATAAACTTCAGGCAGTGCATAACAGCTGAACCCACTGTGTATGGTGCCGCAAATCCCACATCTGAGCACCACGTTTGGCATTGGCTGTGGCCAAAAAGTTGCCGTTAAGTGGATGAAACTCGACTGCATTAAATGGCGTGCGAAACTTGGCTATGGCCAATGGTTCATTCTTGCCCACGCGCAGATCATAGACAAGGATTTCGCCATGCTCCGTGGCCACACTAAACATATTGGTGCTGGTACGGTCCACACTTAGGCCATAGACGGGTCCGTCATGTGAAAAGTAATTAAGATTCTTGCCGCTGGGTACACAGGGAGCAGATAGGTTAGATGTGAGATAAGAAAGCTTTTGGTGACACTTACGTGCCCAGGTCGTGCTGTATGACCAAGTCGTCATTGCCGCCGGAGAACAAATACTTGTTGTCTGTGTCAAAGCCTAGACAAAAAATGTTGCTCGCATGCTCCCCATACATAACGCTTGGGTTGTCCTGGCCCACGTTTGCCAGCGTCTGATCTACATGCCAGAGCAGAACGCGCTTATCGTCTCCACCTGGAAGCCGGCAAACGAAATTAGCAGCCCGTAAGAGTAGCAACAGGTAGCGACTCACCCGATGCCAGGTACTCTCCACCATGGTTAAACTCCAGGGCATTGACACAACCATAGTGCCCCGCGAGATTGCGCTGGTATAGATTCTCAGCGGCATGCAGGCGCTGCCTGAAGATGCCAGCCTCTAGGTTGCTTCGCAAATGCTCAAACTCCCGACAGCTGAGCGCATGATCCAAATTCAGGCTAGCAGCCGGGCCGCCTCTCACATAGCTCATACTGGAGCTTTTTATTCAATTTTCGACTGGACCTCGTTTAGCTACTGCCCCACTACCCACTTGTTCGTCTTATGCATTTACAGCCTGTCGCTCTGGTAACAATTGTTCGGGTTCACAGGCGCTGCCGTTGCAACACAGTTGTATACATTTTGTCGACGCCGACGTCGCTGCTGACGTCGTCGTCACAATTGCACTTTTTTGCGTTGGCGTTGGAAGTTTTCAGCTTGTGTGTTAGCTCTAATGGAAATTTGAGGCACGGCAACTGCAAATGTAATTTTATTTATTTTTTATTTGTTTATTTGCATTCTAATTGCCAGGAGCTACCTTTTCTTTTCTTTTTCAAATGGCGTTTCAATTGACTTTTTCAACGCACAACTCCCGCAGCGATTTTCTCACGACGACGACGACTGCGACTGCGACTGCGACTCTCGACTGGTTTAATCATCGGAATATGCTTTAATCAAAATGAAAACAGAAAGTAGACGAGAAGCGTAGAAACAGCTGTTCCTCGAGCTGAATAGACATTAGAGATGGGCGCGTGCTGAGTCGACGCACGCAATGCAACTGTTTCAAATTGCTTCAAATCAAATGAATTTCTCTAATTGGAGAACACGAACTGTTGCATCAATATGTGTATGTATATGCACACATACATATGTGCATGTGTATATAGCTACATTTCAACTAGTTTGTTTGTAAAACTATCATTTTACTGATTTAATTTAAAACGTAACTTGAAACATATTCAATATTTCTCTTATTAATGTAACAGGAAACTGGAAAGCCTAGATTTGCTATTAACATTATAACGTTAATATTATTAACATAAATTATTATGCCATATATCCATACCTGAGACTGTAAATGTAAATTATTTAAATGTTTTTACTATTGGAATAAGTTATAAGACGGCCTACAGAGGACTCTTTCAAGCAGGAGCCTTAGATTTTGAAATGTGATTCTTAAATGTTCCGTTAACATATATTTACTATATTTCGATTTGATTTTATAATCTTGGTTGCAATGCTTTTTAAACATATCACAGATTTTACACACAGAACGTAGAACATAAATTTTAGGGAATTTAAAATCATTTCGTGTTAGTTGGTTAGTTTGATTGAAATTCTTCGTATTGAAAATTAAGAGCCCGCTAAATGGAAAACGCCGAAAACAATAAGGAGCTGAATGGTTTGTTAATAAAAAGACAATATGTCAATTATGCTCAATTAATCGCAGTTTTAACAGCCTTACCGAAGGATATTGATATCGAGAATACCCAACACATATGCCTCTACCTGCGGAATCTACGGGCACGGCTCAAGCAAACGATACAGCAGCACACTGACTTGATTCAGACTTCAGTGAACATAATCAGGGAGATGGCTGATGTGTCCACAATGCTGGCAATGACGCAGTCCGGAACAGAGCAGCAGCCTACTAAAATCAAGCGACTGATTATGGACTTTGAAAACATGCACACAGGTGACAATGGCTTGAGCTCAGTCGAGGCAATGGAACTGCGTGAGCTGCTCGCTGATTTTCGACGACTTCACGAGAGTCAACTGCTGCGCGATAGCCTGATGTGTTTCAAGCGCGCCAAGGAGTCCTTCGAAAAGGTTGATACCTTGCTGGGCCAATCTGGCCAAAGTGTTCTCGGCGAATCGGGCCAGCCATCGCCTCAGAGCAGTCAGGCAGTGGTGAGCAGCAATAGTGCTAGTCGCAGTCTGCGGGAGAAGATTTTGGCCTTCAACAAGGCCTCCGAGAAGGGCCAGAATATGTTGCAAAATTTTACGCATTGCTTTAGCAAAATGAGTACTGCGAATATTGCATCTGCTGCTGAAGCGCAGGCAAACCCGACTGCATCGCGTTCCCGCACGAATTCCGGCTACGAGGGTGACGTGGACAGTGAAATCGATCAAACTGATAATGCCAAAAGTAAGGAACAAGTTATCAAACCTAATAACTGAGGCATATTTATGGTTTAAGTTTATTATACACGTATATCATACCAAATAATGAGCTATGCCTAACATGGTATGTGTTTTAAATATTCTATTGTTATGACAAGGCGCAAGTAAAAAATAAAATATCTATATATTTACTAAACTATGTTAAAATCATCTAGTTGAGGATATGAAACCGGGCTGCTCAGCATTCCGACTCGGCGGCCTGAAAGAAGCGCGTGTAGTTAATGGCAAAGAATATGGAGATAGCACCAATTGCCGAGCCCAGTTGGGTAATTGCGCCCACCCAAACCAAAGACTGGCCGCCCTGGGCACGCATCACAGTCGTAATTCCCAGCTTGGTGTAGCTGACGATTCCGACAAGCAAAGTCCACGCAGCAACCTGCAAAAGTGAAATACAAAATATATCAATATGGACAATAGGTTCAACTCGATTCACTTACCACTAGCACGGCGCCAGCTGTATGATCGTAGAGCGGTGAATATGGACTTAGGATAGCGGTGATAAATACATAGCTGGTGAGCAGCGCTGCCAGAGTCGAGAGCACATATATGATGCGCAGCGATGTGAAATATAGGAACATGGCCATAAAACAGGCCACTGGATTGGCAATAACACTCAGCGTTGCGGACAGGTGATAGGCGCGCGTTCCATACGGCGCACTCGAATATGATTGTATGCTGGGAAACATGCCGTTGCTGAAGAGAGAGATTGTGCCTATAAGCAGCAGCAAGCCAATATACTGTCCACGGGTGAGCTGTTGCAGCTGCGGTTGATTATCATCCTGGCCATACTCGTACTTGTTGCCCTTGCTAACAGTGACCTGGGCATATTCGCTCTTCGCCAGTGACAGATGATTGAGCAGCGTGTAGCCAATATAGCTGAGTACCATCAGTCCAAATAATATTAAAAAGAATACCCTTGTGTCAAACAATGGCGGTTCTGTTATTTTCTGGTAGATCGCCTCGCCCGACTCGGTCTCATTCACAAGCACACAGCGACCGGTGTCACCAATGCCCTGCACCAAAGCCGTAACGCTGGGTAGCAGGCCGCTGAGACCCTCGCCGATGAAATAGGTGACTATGTATTGCTCCTTGAAGCGCCCCATGTAGGGCATAAAGAGCACTGAGCTTGTGCAAGCATTGAGCGCGGTAAAGATGGTGAGTATGAAGAGCGCTACGCTGTGCTCGTTGCCCGCCAGCGATGCCGTCCGGTTGTAGAAAAACGCGGTTAACAGACAGGACATTGTGCCGATTGCCAGGACTGCATGTATGGTGAAGCCATCGTTGAGCTTCCAGGGTGAGTACTTTTGATAGACAGTGTAGAGTAGTGGTCCCAAATTTCCTATTTGCACCATCACGCTCAGATAGGATGGCAGACTCCAGCCCTCGGGCGCCTCATTAACCAGCAGAGGCAGCTGTATAAAGGTGCCATTCACGCCCAGCCAAGTGCCTATACCAAAGCATATGGCCAGCAGATCGACGATCAGGTTGCGATTCTTGAAGACGCCGCCGGTTTTATGCTCCATCTTCTTGCTAATGGATCGCCAGTTGAAGAATGCACTTAGCTCGCTGGGCTCGTCTGTGCCGCATCTAAGAATAAGGTTTAAATCATTAAGATAAGATCCGTATACAACATTGTGTCTGCACCATAATTCAGATTTACTTAGTTTCACTAAATGTCTTTTAACGCAGTAAATGAGGCCGGCAGGTCGCTCATGAATTTGTACTTGTGGGGTTACACAATGCATTGGATGGAAAGTGTATAAGCGGATCAGTCAAATATGTCAGGGTCTTAATTGTTAATTTTGAGAAATTCTCTAAAAGTTTTCAAGTCTATGAATGCTGCCCAATTTGGGTGACACATTTTAATATACTAAGTTTCAAGTAGGTCTTCTAATACACATACGTTACAATTTTATATCATAAAGTGACAGTATTAGTGTATTTAAGCTTCGTTGTGAGTTCTAATTATAATCTCACACTTATTCGTTAAGTTTAGAGATAGCGAACACAATATGCTTTTGTGGTAGGGTAGTAGGAATGTAAATTTGTATGTACAAAGAGAATACATTTGAGTGCACACACTTTCATTTAATAAGCCTGACAGGGCATTTTTTTTATACCCTGAACCAATTCAAAATGGGTATAAGGGTATATTGTATTTGTGCAAAATCCAAATGTATGTAACAGGCAGAAGGAAGCATTTCCGACCCCATAAAGTATATATATTCTTGATCAGGATCAATAGCCGAGTCGATCTAGCCATGTCCGTCTGTCCATCCGTCCGTCTGTCCGTATGTATGAACGCAAGGAATTCAGAACCTATAAGAGCTAGAGAAATTTTAGATGTAGGTGCTTCTAGTGCCTGCGCAGATCGATTTTTTTCCGATAATCGATAACCTACTCCGTTTTCAAGCAATCGATAAGAATCGATATCGATATCCTGTCTTTTTTTTTTGTCAATTTTGGTAAGTAATAAGAGCTAGAGTCCACCAAACTTGACATATAGCTTCTAAAATAGAATATATATATGGATTTGATATTGGCAGAAGAGGGTTCAGGGTATCCCCTAGTCGGGAGCTCCCGACTAGAACCTCTTGTTTTTTTTTTTTGGTGTATTGTGTTCGCATATGTGAGCAGGTTCGCTTTGAAAACTTAAGCTGATAGCTGACCCGCTCTGAAATATGGTCAGGTAACTGCTCATTTTCAGGTATTCAGTAGTGTGTGAATGTGGTGACTAACTGATTGATTTGATATCTGTAAAAGCTAGGAATCCGAAATTTGGACTTAAGTTACCTTATGGGTTCTGAGGAAAAATCGCGGAAAACCTGTTGCATGAGCCATTTTTAAATTCACCCTTTTCGGCAAATCCACACACGCTTGGTGGAAATGGCGGTCAATGATTTGTTGGGTTTCGGAAATTTTTTAAAAATTTACTTAAGACGTGTTTCAAACTTTTGGCAAAATACACACCAGTAGGATCAAAAATGCACAAAAGATGGAAATTCATTTTGTTGACTTCAAGATTTCCACCGTAAGATATGAGAACATGAAACTAATTTTGAAATATTTATGTTAATTATAGCTGGAGACGTGTAGTTCAAGATTATAGAAGGTAGGTTTCAATTTTGAATGGCGACAGACAGCCAGAGATAATTGTTGTGTTTTGACTTGAAATGCTTCTAACTCAAAAGTCGAGATCTTATCAATGCAATTAAGCAGGAACGTGAACGTCTCCAGCGCTCAAACTGAAGTGGGCCAATTCTCATTTGGCTTTCCTCACGTAATTCAAATAGACAGATAACAACTGATTTGCTTTATGGGCACAACGTCACGCTGGCCATAAACAAAACTTTGATGCTGCCATAAACTATGACAAATCTGAGGTGAAAAATAAATGAACAAATGAAAGCGGAGGTCAATAAGCTTACGTATGTATGTATGTATAAACAGGTTTCCATAACGATACACACACACACACACACACACAAACGAATTCGCAGCCCTTACCTGTCGAAATTGTGGCGTTCCGCTCCGGCGTGGTTTGGCGTTGAGAGCACAGCGTATACTGCACCGGATTGGCTAACATTGTTAGCTCCAGACATAACGGTGTGTTTAAAAATAATCAACAGTTATAGCTGGATTTACCAATTAATTTACGATCAATATGCCGATGTCGAGATTAGATTGCGCCGACAATGTTTCATCAGATGGAGCGAGCACTGCTGTAACTATGATATAGATGCCTCGTCGGGTCAAAGTGGCCAGGCTTTAATTGGCAGCCAATTTCGAGCGTGGCTTAATTGGCGGGCGCTCAAATAAAACTGATTGAAAGTTGAGCGTGTGTTCTCTTCTCGCATCCAATTTCAAGACATCAATTCCTATGCTTTTTTGTGATACTTTTTTGTGATTGATGTTGGCATTTGGAGTCGCAGCTACGTTAATGATGCATTCGAAGTTGTCCCGTTATGCAATTCGTCATGCGGCAAACGTAAGCAAATGTGGAGTATTACGACAAGTCACTGCTTTGGCAGGGCGCGTGTTTACTAAAGGAACTCCGATGGCCATTAGAATTTAAATTTTTATGTGCCCACCATAAATAAAGAATTCCAAATCTGACAAAGTGATACCAAACAGCTGATGAAAACTGACCGGCGTTAAAATAACTAGAAGATAGCGCATTGCGCATGATATAAGTTCGATGTTCAAATGAGTGAGCTTATGTGTGACGTCACATATGTGAAATATTATGCGATGACTTAAACGACTTTTAAGTTAACAATATTATGAAACATAAATGATCTTTATGACCGAGAAAGCAATTTGTATATATTGAATTGATTTTACGCGTACCATGAGTAGCGCATACCATTTACAAGTTGTGACGTAACAGAGAGCGTTAACAGACTACAGACCAGAGGTGATTTGCGCATGGTATCGCAACGCACATGTGTGTCACAGACAGAGAGCGCCCGATTTACAGAGAGAGAGAGATAAAAAGAGAACGGCTCATACTTTTGTTTATGCAGTGTCTTTATTGCCTTATGGACTCGCAGTCGCAAAACCCGGAACCTAATGAATGAAATACCTATAAGCGAACCGATTGATAGCATGATGAACATTGTAATGATAGCTTGAAGCTAACTAACTTAAAATGCACTACAGATGGTGCATTATGTGAGTCTCATATAAATAAAATGGCATTTTAGTGTGCGCATAGCTGTTGATACCATTTTTTACTTTCACGACAGCGCTTGTTGGTGCACATGGGGCAGCGCATCAAGAACTTTGGATTCACGGGCTGATCCGACTTCAGATGATCTGCCACAATGCTGCTCAGTGCCTCAATAAACAACGGATGATCATTGGGAGCGGCAGCGCGACGTATCTCCTCCACGCCCACCTCCTTGGCCAGCTCATCGCAGTACTCAATGTCCAGCTCGTGCAGTGTTTCAATGTGCTCGTTAACAAATGCAATAGGCACCAGTATGAAGTTCTTCAGGCCCTGTTTAACATAGCCCTGCAAGTTAATTGAGATTGTAGTCATGGAAGCATGAAAGCATGGTTTCCGGAAATCGTTTACCTTGATGGCATCATCTGTGGCTGGTGCCAGCCAGGGCAGCGGTCCCACCTTCGACTGCCAGGCTAAGCTGTAGGGATTATTTTGGCCCAGTTCCTGCATAACCATGTGCACACTGGCGCCGATTTCAGAGGGATACGGGTCGCCCCTACTTACTGCCTTGAGGGGCAGCGAATGTGCCGTAAAGAGTATTACAACATCATTGCGCTTAGTCTCCACAAACTTGGCCAACTCCTCGCGTATGCGTTGTGCGAATGTCTTTATGAGCAGCGGATGTGTGCCCCAGCGATCAATAATGCTCCACTTAATGTTGGCGGGTGGTGTGCTGCGAATTGGAAACTGGGTTATCTGTCTAACTTTCACATGAGCTGGCCATTTACTTTTCGCGGTAGTGAGTGAAGATCGAGTTGAAGCTGGAGCCGGATGTGGCGCAACTGTACTGTGGATACTGTGAGAAGAGCACCACGCGCTCTGGCTTGTCGCTGCAGGAGAATATTGCATGAGGAATACATAAAACAATTCCTTGACGTTGCTGTCAACTGACCTTTCGATCTGCGCAAGAGTATCCTCAGTCAAGGGATTGACATAGCGAAAGCCAACGTAATGCTTGTGCGGTGCCGTTGTTGGCGACAGTTTGTCCAGTTGCTCGCACATCAGTTGGCCCTGCAGCTCGGTCCACTTCAATATTGGCGAGCCGCCGCCAATTTCCTTGTACTTCTTTTGCACTTCTGGGGTGCGACGCTGCGCAATCCATGGACCGAGCCGGCTTTGCACCGGCAGCTGTATCATATCGCGATCCGTCATAATGCGCAACAGATAGTCGTGCACCTGATCCGTGTGTTGAGGTCCGCCCATGTTTAGCATGAGTATCGCAGTCTTTGCCTTCTGGCTACTGAAACGGACGTTGCCCGTGGCGAAATTAGCGACATTACCTGTAATGTAAGCAATGTAGTTTATGTCAGGGAGGGGGTATTAAGCTACTTACTTGCCAGCTTGCATAGATTTCTGTTATGCAAAAACATAGTTTTTACCAAAACTAGACGAAGAGCAAAAATGCAACCGGAACTATTTCTCCAAAGTTAATCTCGTACGTAATTTATTGTAGGTTCAACACTTTTAAGTGCACAGTAATTGACGGCAAATGTCAAATGCTTTTATTTACCTTCAACCTTAAATTTAAACAAGTTCGCTATGAAAAGCTCTGAAAAGTAAAAATACGAAGTTGGCCCAGTTGGAAATTTTATTTAACAGCGACAAAAAGTTTAACATATGCTGAACTGTTATATACAGCAAGTACACAGCTTGGCCGCAAAAATATCGTTCTCCTTTTTGAATAGGACGAATAAAAATATTATTTCATATTGAGAATTTTAAATCAATAAACTATAAATAGAAATATTGTGGACAAACTCTATAGAAAACTGCATTTATAATAAAATCGAATATTATTTTACCTTATTTCGAATACAGCTTTGTAAGTTTATAATAAAAAATAGTTTTCATCTAGTGAGGAGTAATTCTGTTAATTTAGTATTTTTTATGTTAACAAAATGATGCAATGATTTACCGGCTACCATTGTTGCAGAGTCGTAAGACCAGCCAACTCAAGTCAATAA